TAGCCCCCACATCACACACAGTTTACTCTTGGAAACATTGTGTTTCTTGAACACTGGGATTTTTCAGAGTGATACAACAGTAAAGGCTTCACTTTGAAATTCCCAGTAACATTAGCACAAAACAAAAGACTAAGCCTGTCTTCCATAGGCTTCTGTCCAAGCAGGGCCTTTTCCTCCTGCATAATGTGGGTCCTCTTTGGCATTTTCTTTTAAAACAGGCCTGTTTCTTCACAATTGAACACTTCTTGGGGGAGGAATCCTTTAGCCTCTACGCACCCCTTGAAATCTTGCACAGATTTTTCAGCCGCACATTTATTAGAACTTGCAGCCTCTCCATGCCTTGCCACACTGTGTATGTCACTACGCTTCTTAAATCTTTCAAACCAGCCTTTGCTGGCCCTAAATTCACTAACAGCAGCACTCGTTCCAGTCATTTTATTTACAAGATCCACATACAACTGCTTTGCCTTCTCAAAAATCACTGACTCCACAACACTATATCCCACTAATTGTTTTTCCCTGATCCACAACAGTAATAACTTTTCCAGATCTTCCATTATTGGCAACCTTTGTTTTGTTATCACATTTAGTCCTTTCACAGCATCAGCTTCCTTGATTTGTTCTTTCTTTTCCAGGATGGAAGTGATGGTAGATTTGTTTTTCCCATACATCCTAGTGAGTTCCAACACTCGCATACCACTCTCAAATTTTTCAGTCACTTCTCTCTTAAATTCCATCATGTTTCTCCCTTTCTTTACCACAGGAACTTTCTTTGGGGCCATGCTTACTAATTTTGCAGTTGCACTTAATAAATAACAAAGAAAAACAATGATTTATAACGAAAAGTTTGGATGAATAAGCAGAAGCTTCCTCACTCGGCCAGCAGCACAGCTGCGCTGACTCAGGAACATGCGAGCATCGGTGGCCGATAACTGGAAGCCAAGAATCCGGCCGATAAGCGAATTGGCCGATAAGCGGAACAGCCAATAACTGAAGGTTCACTGTACTTTCAGTGGGTTCTAGAGTCCTCCTTCAGTCTGGCTCCAGGCCGGGCTTGTCTGCTACTTGCCTGGTCAACCAGGTTCTTGCTGCTGGCCCATGTACCCATCACAGCCTGGTTGATCCAGCACTTGGCAGAGGAACTTGTTAAGTTACCTCTTGAAGACTTGTCCACTTGTTCTGGCAGTGTTATAAGAATCTGGCTGCTTGTAGTAAACAGAGAATCAAATTGCCATCACACCTGGTCCTGCATGACCCCCCACAAGTTTAATAATTCACATAATAATAGTAATAGAGTGTGAGCAAGGTAACATTTTGTGAAGGGATTCAGGGAAACCAGTTAGCAAGACTTAAGTCCTGCACTTTAAAGGAGAGGTTTGGGACATTTGCTATTTGGAGTGATATCTGAACTGTTGTATCTGTGCACCTCTGCTAAGACAGTGATAATGTGTGAATGATGGTGAAAGTGTTTTTCTTTTTTGGGTCACCCTGCCTAAGTGGGAGATGGCCAGCATGTTAAAAAATAATAATAATAATAATAATAATAATGATGCTGTAATAATTATATTGTGACTTTGGTACTTGCTTCTCTCCATGTCTCCTTGTTTTGGGCCCTCTGTCTATGTCTTCCCTGTCTATGCCCTTATACATTTTGTCATGATTATACTGCATCACCTCTCATTTTTTGTTCCTCCAGGGACAAAGTACTGAGCTCATGCTTTCTTAAGTGTTTGACTGGGTGAGGGGTTCCTCAAAGCTGTTACTCTGGAATTAGTCAAATTTTTGAGGAGAATGATTATAATCTTTAAGATTTTTTGAGAGGCATTCATGTGTATGTTATTCTGTTAATATGATTATGCACATTTCACAGCACAGATTTAGTGTAATGTCTCCACCTAACCTTTCTTCTTTGTTTTTTACTTTTCTTGTATTGAAATAAAACTTTAGTAGCCCCTTGTTCAAAAATTGAAAGAAAGAGGCTTACTATAATAATAATAATAATAATAATAATAATAATAATAATTAGAGGTAGTAGGTTGGTAGACAGCAACCGCCCCGGGAGGTACTACCGTCCTGCCAAGTGAGTGTAAAACGAAAGCCTGTAATTGTTTTACATGAACATGCAAGATTTCAGGTACGTCTTGCTACTTCTACTTACACTTAAATCACACTACACATGCATGTACAAGCTTTTATATATACATACCCATCTGGGTTTTCTTCTATTTTCTTTCTTGTTCTTGTTTATTTTCTCTCTCCATGGGGAAGTGGAACAGAATTCTTCCTCCGTAAGCCACGCGTGTCGTAAGAGGCGACTAAATTGCCGGGAGCAAGGGGCTAGTGACCCCCTTCTTCCTGAAAAGAGAAGCTTTTGTTTTTCTTTTTGGGCCACCCTGCCTTGGTGGGATACGGCTGGTTTGTTGAAAGAATAATAATAATAATAATTATAGGTAGTAGGTTGGTAGACAGCAACCGCCCCGGGAGGTACTACCGTCCTGCCAAGTGAGTGTAAAATGAAAGCCTGTAATTGTTTTACATGATGGTAGGATTGCAGGTGTCCTGTCCCTTTTTCTGTCTCATAAACATGCAAGATTTCAGGTACGTCTTGCTACTTCTACTTACACTTAGGTCACACTGTACATATGTGTACAAGCATATATATACACACCCCTCTGGGTTTTCTACTATTTTCTTTCTTGTTCTTGTTTATTTCCTCTTATCTCCATGGGGAAGTGGAACAGAATTCTTCCTCCGTTAGCCATGCATGTTGCAAGAGGCGACTAAAATGCTGGGGGCAAGGGGCTAGTAACCCCTTCTCTTGTATAAATTACTAAATTTAAAAAGAGAAACTTCGTTTTTCTTTTTGGGCCACCCTGCCTTGGTGGGATACGGCCGGTTTGTTGAAAAAAAAAATAATTATAGGTAGTAGGTTGGTAGACAGCAAACACCAAGGGAAGTACAACTGTCCTGCCAGATGACTGTGAAACAGAATTTTGTAATTGTTTTACATGATGGTGGGATTGCTGGTGTCCTTTTTTCTGTCTCATAAACATGCAAGATTTCAGGTACGTCTTCCTACTTCTACTTACACTTAGGTCTCACTACACATACATGTACAAGCATATATATACACACCCCTCTGGGTTTTCTTCTATTTTCTTTCTAGTTCTTGTTCTTGTTTATTTCCTCTTATCTCCATGGGGAAGTGGAACAGAATTCTTCCTCCGTAAGCCATGTGTGTTGTAAGAGGCGACTAAAATGACAGGAGCATGGGGCTAGTAACCCCTTCTCTTGTATAAATTACTAAATTTGAAAAGAGAAACTTTCGTTTTTCTTTTTGGGCCACCCTGCCTTGGTGGGATACGGCTGGTTTTGTGGAAAAAAATAATAATAATATCTTTATTTACTACAAGTACAAGTACATGGTATACCGACCTAGCTGACATCAATGGCATACTACTATATGCTGAGCATTTTGAGCAAATTAGGTCAGTTTTATCAAAGGATGCCACCCACACCAGTCTGCTAACACTCAGGTACCATTTTAAACTGATGGGTGGACAGGGACAGTAGATGTCTTATGGAAACACGTCCATAATGTTTTCCAGCTGTACCGGAGGAGATTCGAACCCCAGACCTCAGTGTGTGAGCTGAGTGCGCTAGCAATTGAACTACGGGACACCTAGTGAGTGAGGCTGAGGGATTGGGTATATATATTGAATGGTAGATAGCCTTATCTTACATGACTGCTCTCAGACTTTACACAAATAACCTGAACTTGGGAGAGAGAAAGTAATGACGACATTTCATTCCAACTTGGATTATTAAGTCACACTGAAGTGAGACGAGAAGAAGGCCAGAATATATACAAGATGGGGCAAGGATAGAAGGGAATGGTAGCAGTAGTTGTGTTAGTGGAGGGCATGGTATAGTAGTAATAGTAAAGGTAGCAGCAGTGTAGTAATAGGTAAAAGTAGCAGCAGTGTAGTAGTAGTAATGATGAGGTAGCAGTGAACTGAAATGCCATCATTACTTTCCCTCAGATTACTCTTCATTTCTTTAAAATTTAATAGTCTTCTTCACTGTAGCTTAACATCACTGCTATCTGTCTTCGTAGACATGTGAATCTTCTTGATTTGACTCTCAAATTATCATATCTCCTAGCCATAGTACCGGATGTGGTACCTGACTCTCATGTACTCCACTACTGCCTCCTACAATGCACTACATGACTAAAATTTGTTCTAGGTAGGGCATGGTTGTATCCAACCATAAAAATTGTTTGAAAGTTAAATAAATTGAAATTGCCTTTACTTTTGTTTCTGATCTTGCCCACTTGGCAAGTAAGGCCAATGGAGAGAATCAAGTTAGCAAAAAAAGGGTGTATAAATCTGGGGTGGAAGGTAGGAAGGATAGGGGTTATCCCAGGAATGGTTAGGGTAAGGAGGTAAAAGAGGCTTTGGGTTTTAGGGGCTTGAGCATCCAGCAGGCTCTTGTGATCATGTTAGAGAGGAATGTATGGAGACAAGTGATATTTAATGTGGATGTGCTGTTGCAGTGTGAACAGGGTAACTTTTGTGAAGGGATTCAGGGAACTCCGTTAGCCACATTTGAGTCCTAGAGGTGGGAAGGGCAGGGCCTGCATTCTGAAGGAAGGGTTGGGATGTTGCAGTTTGAGGATAATCTGACTGTGATGTCAGCATGCTTCTGGATACAGTGACTGAATGAATGATGGTGAGTGTGTTTTCTTTGGGTCATGCTGCCTCAGGAAATGGCTGCTGGGTTAAAAAATAAAAATATATATCTTGCCCAGTTTAAGGTTACATGGCAACCATCACTCTGTGAAAGAAACCATATAAAGCAAATAAATATTACACTTTAATATCATAATATAATCATACATTTTGGAAATAAGAGATGAGTAATTTTCTAGTAATTTAGTGAGGTATTATTTTTAATGGAAACTAATCACTTTTTAATATTGTATGTCTTTTCAACAGATACAGTGGTAGAACACAGAAGCAAGTTCAAGAGTTTGTCAGAGATAACTATGTTAAAAGAGCTCCATTTCAAAGGTAATTGCATATAGTATTGATGTAAATTTTGGACTAAAATTTTGTTTATAATATAAAAAGAAATAGTATTTATAATGATGGTATTGTACTTAACATTTACATGTAAGCACGCCATCAAATTTTTAATGAAGAATTTAAGTAATGCTTAAAATTTGAAATTATATGGAAATGCATTACAAGTAAATGCTTTAAATTGACAGGTCTCAGTCATTTCGACACTCTCCCTCTGTACATACGAGTGTAAGCAACGTAGGCATGAGCATCTCTGCACAACCTCTTCTTCCTCTTGGTGATAATCAGTGCAGTAAGTATTCTACCCCTGCATTTTTTTCAGTATTTTTTGGGTCATCTCTAATAATGACCAAGTACCATAAAGGCAACACCAGTTTCTCTTCAATTAGTCATGGGTAACTTAATTAAACCTAGGTAGTAGGTTGATAAACAGCAACTGCCCAGGGAGGTACAGTGGACCCTCGCCTAATGAACGCGTCGTATAACGTTAAATCTGCCTAGAGATACATTTTAACGGAAAAATTTTGCCTCGGCTAGCTCTAAAAAACTCGCCCAACGTGATTCGTTCCGTTCGAGACGCATCCACATGTGGCCTGAGCGCACCTCACTTGTCCCCTGGGTACCAGTGTTTACAAACCAGCCACCATGGTGGCATTCAAACATACAATCGGAACATTTCATATTATCACAGCGTTTTTAGTGATTGCACCTGCAAAATAAGTCACCATGGGCCCCAAGAAAGCTTCTAGTGCCAACCCTGTGATAAAAAGGGTGAGAATTAGTATGGAAATTAAGAAAGATTTTGAAGGGTTTGGGGCTAACCCTGAGATGCCTATGTCAGTTGTGGAATCCATTGTGCCTACTTCAAAGATTAAGGAAATGTGTGCAAAGTGGGTTGAACTGCAAACCTTTATGGATGAAAATCACCCTAACACAGCTATTGCAAGCCGTGCTGGTGACTATTACAATGACAATGTTATGGCCCATTTTGGACAAATCTTAAAGGAACGGGAGGTACAGAGCTCTATGGACAGATATGTTGTGCGACAGAGGTCCAGTGACTCTCAAGCTGGTCCTAGTGGCATTAAAAGAAGAAGTGAAGTAACCCCAGAAAAGGACTTGACACCTCAAGTCCTAATGGAAGAGGATTCCCCTTCTAAACATTAACACCATCAACACTCTCCCCTCCTCCCATCCTATCAATCATCACCAGATCTTCAATAAAGGTAAGTGTCATGTAATTGTACATGTCTTCTTCAGTTTGTGTGTATTAAAATTAATATTTCATGTGGTAAAATTTTTTTTGTTCATACTTTGGGGTGTCAGGAATGGATTAATTTGATTTCCATTATTTCTTATGGGGAAAATTAATTCGGCTAACGATAATGGTTTTACAAAGAAAAGTACGTACCTTGAAATTGAGCTCAAAGTAGCAGAAATGTTCGATTTTTACCAAAATTCAAAAGTAAACAAATCATGCTGTGCGTCCAATACATGTCAACTGGTGAGTCTAATATTCTTTCACAAGTGCGCTGATTTTATTTATACCATTTCTACACCAATGCAGTAGTCAGCATAACAGTAAATCTTCTATTTTTTTTGTAAGAATAAAAATTCAAAGTGGAAAGCAAAAGAATGTAAGAGGGGCATGGGGATGTGACTAATGAACAGAGGAAATGTTATTTTAGTGCCAGGAATGTCTTTCTTGTTTATTCTGGACCCTATTCGGAAATTGGCATCTTTTGAAATTTGTGTGAAATTGGCAAAATTGCTAAATTCTGACCACTGTATTGGATAGTTGAAATTGGTAAATGGGTGGTTTCTTGTACTCATTTGATAGAAAAAATGGAGTTCTAGCAAAATAGTTATGATTTTTGTTGACAAGTATACTGGAATTGGCCAAAAATAGAGCTCAAAGTGGGCAAAATCGCCGATGCATAAATGTTGTCGAGACTGGTAACTTCGCGAGAGCATAATTCCATAAGTTTTCCATCAAATTTCATAATTTTGGTGTCATTGTGATTGGGAAAAGATTCTCTATCTTTTCATAAGAAAAATTAATTTTTTTTTTTTTTTGAAATTTGGCCGACCCTGAGAACAAGTCTCTGAGAGGGCCTGTTGACCCTGAAAGGGTTAAATTACTTGCTGCACTGTTAATGCTACACTTTATCACTGGCTGGCGCTATAGCCTTTATCGACTCCTGCTGCTTTAGTATCGTACATATTGTAGAATCACTGAAGAAGGCACATTCTCCCCTCTCTCTCAGCCCTTTATGAAAGGGCTGGCTGGCACTAGGAACTTTCTTTGGGCCCATGGTGGCTTATTTGTCAGTTGCAAAAAATAAACAGGCACCAAAAACGAGGGATTATTACGAAATGTTTTGGAATGCTCGAAGTAATGCTCACTCAACCAGTGACAGAGGCAGACTGAGACATGTAGTGGCGGTGTCCCCGGGCGGGTGGACGAATATAATATATCCGATTACCGGATCAAGGTTCGATATTCAGAACAAAATATCGCACAAAACATGGTCCTAAAACCGAAACGTCCAATAACTGGAGCGTGCGAAAACCAGAGTTCCACTGTATTCCAAATATTTTGGAATTTGTGTGGGAGTGAAGGGCAAGATATTTTGCAAATGTCAAAAACTTAGCAATTTTATTTTTTTTTTTGTAGAATAACCAAAGATAATTACTCGATTACCCCCAGTGAGAACATCACACTAGCATTGTTTTTGTAAGTACCATGTCTCGAAACCACCTTTCATTGTACCATTTAGTCTGGGGTTCTTGTCAGATGTCATTTTCAGTAAATATTTTTTTTTTTTGGTTGTAACTGGGATTTTGGCTCACAACTCCAAGCAAAAAATCGACTGAGTGACGGCTCGTAACTCGGAAAACTCGTAAGTTGGAGCACTCATAAGTAAAGGTACTAGTGTACCATCCTCTTATCCCTATCTTTGGGGGCTTATATTAGAGAAAACGTATTGTAGTACAAGGCAAGCTGTTATATACACTCGTAATGCACCATAAAACTGAAACAAAAAAGCTATTTTCTCAAATTTTTTTTTCTGTGTGCGCTCATTTTTGTTGATTATCTCGGAAGTAAGTTATTTATTTATATCTTAACATAGCAGAATTAATAATGATAGGAATGCAATGAATTTCACAGTAAACATAAAAGAATGATTGATTGTTTTACAAATTAGTGAAGGTAAATTTGAAATACAATAATTTATTTTTGATTTGTGTGAGGGTAAAAGGCCGATATTTTGCTAAATGTCAAAACCATACTAACTATTTTTTTTAAGAATGAAGATAGGATAAATTACAGTAATTATGTTTGTGATAAATTCAGATTAGCAATGTTTTATCAGCAGGTAGTGCCCAAACAGCTTCTTGCAGTGCCAGTACCTGGCTTGGGCTTGCCATATGTGATTTTTGGTAAATATTTTTTTTCTTAGTTGTTTGGTGGGCTATCGTATTGAAACTTGGGCACTATATGATAGAAAAACGCTTCTTAACCCCTTGACTGTCGCAACCCCCAATCCTGAGGTGTCTCCTGGTGTCGCAAAATTTAAAAAAAAAAAAATTATTTTTTCTTATGAAATGATAGAGAATCTTTTCCCAATTGTAATGACACCAAAAAAATGAAATTTGATGGAAAACTGACGGAATTATGCTCTCGCGAAGTTAGCGACCTTGGTGATATTTACAAATCGGCAATTTTGCCCACTTTGAGCCCTATTTTCGGCTAATTCCGTTGTTCCAGTCGACCAAACTCATAGCTATTTCTTTGGAACTCCAATTTTTCTATCGATTGAGTACAAGAAACTGCCCATTTACCGATTTCAACTACCCAATAATGTGGTCAAAAATTTGCAATTTGGCCAATTTCACGAAAATTAAAAAATATGACAATTTCAAAATAAGGTCCAGAATGAACAATGCAGACATTCCTGGCTCTAAAATAACATTTTCTTTATTCATCAGTCATGTATCCAGGCCCCTCTGATATTACTCTTGCTTTCTATTTTGAATTTTTATTCAAACAAAAAATAGAAGACTTATTATTATGCAGACTACTGCAATACTGTAATAATTGTATAAATAACATCAACCCATTCATGACTGCATATTAGAATGGCTAGTTGGATATTTATTGGACAACGACATCATTTGTTTACTTTTGAACATTGGCAAAAATCAAACATTTCCCCTACTTTGAGCTCCATTTCCAGGTTCTTTTTATAGTAAAATCAATCAAAATCACCTCTATTTCTATAATATGTTTTCCATTCTATCAAATGGGACCAAGAAAACGAGAATACAACCATAAATACTATACGAAAATAGACCACAAAGTCGGCATTTTAATTAAAAAAAATGGTCGGAGTTTTTTTTTTCTCATTATGCACTGTGTGCTCCAGGATTTTTTTTATATGGTGCACACTGACCACACAGACCCATTCTCTCACATGTGGGCCTACCAGCTTTCTCCTGCTTGATTTGAAGCCGCTAGAATTTATGAGTATATATACGTCAAACACAGTACCTCGTAAGACGTATATATACGACCGCGACAGTCAAAGGGTTAATGTACACCAAAATTGAAGGAAATCAGATAAATAATTGAGTTCACTTCTCAGCCATTAGCCGTCCCTTAGTGGTATATTTTCGTATGGTTTTTATGGTTGTATTCTCGTTTTTTTTGGTTTCATTTGATAGAATGGAAGATATATTACAGAAATAAATATGATTTTGATTGGTTTCACAATGAAAAGCACCTTGAAATCGGGTGCAAAGTAGCGAAAATGTTTGATTTTTGCCACTGTTGAAGAGTAAACAAATGTCACCGTCCAGTACATGTCCAACTGGCCAGTCTAATACATAGTCACGAATGGGTTGACATTATTTATACAGTTATTACAATAATGGAGTAGTCTGCATAATAGTAAATCTTCTATTTTTGTGTGAATAAAAATTCAAAATGGAAAGCAAGGGTATTATAAGAGGGGCCTGGAGACATGACTAATGAACAGAGAAAAATGTTATTTTAGTGCCAGGAATGTTTGCATTGTTTATTTTGGACCCTATTTTGAAATTGGCATCTTTCGAAATTTGTGTGAAATTGGCCAAATTGCCAATTTGACTTTTTTATTGGGTAGTTGAAATAGGTGAATGGGGGGTTTCTTGTACTCAGTCGACAGAATAGAAGGAATACATACTAGTGAAATTGCTATGAGTTTGGTGGACTGGAACAATGGAATGGGCCAAAAATAGGGCATAAATTGGGTGAAATTGCCGATGTGTAAATATTGCCGTTGGGTTAAGTGTATTCTAACCTAACCACTCTGTAATCCGGCAAAGTCACTAATCCGGCACCCTACAGGTCCCGATGATGCCAGATTAGTGATGGCCGATGCGTATACTCTAAAACTCAAGTTTTTTGCTGAAAATACTGTCCTGCGTATGGTATGTCACACTCGGTGATAAATATTTATGAGCCAGTTAGGTCTTTTTGATAAGCAGATAGTTTATTTTATTAAACACACTTTCCCCTACAAGAGATTCAATTTTTTTTTTTGCAGCAACAATATTTTTTCACTGACAGCAGAACTCTTATAATCAAGATAGGGCTTATGGTATCCATTTATGTTTAATTCAGATGTTAGGTATATAAACTAAGGCATAGGAACTAAAGCAGGCTAGAAAGAATATTTACTTTCAGAATCTGTTAAGAACATTATTACACAGAAAAATAGTTTATATTCTTTGGGCTACTGTGCTGCTCTTTAACAGATTTTGAAGCTAAATGCTGCTTAAGTAATAAACTTAAATAATTATATAAAGGTTGGTAATGTTGTTACATTTTTTATTCATTGAGTAACAAAATCTATTTCTTAGTCGATCATATTAAAAGCTAATATAGTATCCTAACATGTGATGTTATAATCAATTTTTTGACAAAACTTTTTACTCTTTTTATGTTAATGTCAGTCATGGCCTTTTCATAAGCTAAGATTATTATCCCTGCTGTGCTTTCTGTAGCTGGTACTTCTTACAAATTGCAGATTTTAAATTATTAATCTGAATAACTGTCCCCCCCCCCTCCCCTGGAATTAGAAAAAAAAAATGATTCATTCAGTACATTTTCCAAAGATCATAACCTTTTCTCCAGGTTCACTTTTTAGCTGATATAATATGACAGTCATATATCTTACACCTCAAAAGTTTTCATCAAATTGCCATTTTTTACGATGACACTAAGCTCATGTGGCAACTATATAATTGTGATATGACTGACCAGCAGAGGCTGGAGGAGTAATAGGAATCATTTTTAATTCACTGTCATATTAATGAAATAGGTAGTAGGTTGGTAGACAGCAACCGCCCAGGGAGGTACTACCGTCCTGCCAAGTGAGTGTAAAACGAAAGCCTGTAATTGTTTTACATGATGGTAGGATTGCTGGTGTCCTTTTTTCTGTCTCATGAACATGCAAGATTTCAGGTACGTCTTGCTACTTCTACTTACACTTAGGTCACACTACACATACATGTACAAGCTCATATATACACACCCCTCTGGGTTTTCTTCTATTTTCTTTCTAGTTCTTATTCTTGTTTATTTCCTCTTATCTCCATGGGGAAGTGGAACAGAATTCTTCCTCCGTAAGCCATGCGTGTTGTAAGAGGCGACTAAAATGCCGGGAGCAAGGGGCTAGTAACCTCTTCTCCTGTATATATTACTAAATGTAAAAGGAGAAACTTTCGTTTTTCCTTTTGGGCCACCCCGCCTTGGTGGGATACAGCCGGTGTGTTGAAAGAAAGAAGAAAGATATTAATGAAGTAGTTTTACTGCAAATCCACCTTGTTGCTGTTGGATGAATCTGGCATTTCTTGTGAAAAGGCTAAATAAATGCAGTGTATGAATTAAAAGTGAATTACAGCCTGTATTTTCAATGAACTAATAACAAAGCTTTTCTTAAAATTGATCAGAAAACGTTACACTATAGTAATTCTGTTATTCTAACCATGCATTAATATTAATACTGCACTTTGTTTTCTAATGTTTTCTAATTAATATCTTTTATCACCAATATCTTTACTATGGTATCTCTTTCTTTGTGTTCTGTTGGTAATTTTACTAACTTTATCATATTTTACAGTTGGCACACCTGTATCTTTATCGTGTGGCTCCATGACTTTGGCCTCGACCGGTGACCCTCAATCCCCTGGGTCACCCACCCAGACTGAGACTGCTGACCTTCATGACTTCGACACCCGTGACCTCGAGACCCCTAGCGTGACACCTTCCAGACAGGACACCCTCTCTCCAGAGACGTCAGTTACCTCCAGTCCTCAGCGAGGTCACGACCCTGAATACCCCCATCATCCAGGTCAGCATCGCCACTACCAAAGGGCACCCTCCTTAGACACTAACTCTACCATGTCATCACGACAACAACTGAACTCTAACCCTGCTCTCATGGAGGGAACTATAAAAGAATATTCTTTTGATGATAACCATTATCAAGAACCAGCTGATGACAGTGGGGATAATCTATCACATGAATCTTATGAGCTAATAGAAAAAGAGGGTGGTAAGTGGGCAGGATCACAGTCAAGTTCCAGGGTTCCTAGTAGGTCTGGTTCTAAGCTGATGATCAACAGTGATGTGGGAAGTACAGAGGGTCTGGAGTGGGCAGAACTCAAAGGGGATAATAATAGTAACAGGGGTCGAGCAAGTAGTTATACTGGTAGCCTCCCTCGTAGTCATGGCAGCAGTACCAATAAAAAACAAAGTAATGGTTATACTGGGAGCCTCCCAAGAACTCACAGTAGCAGTCAGTCCTGTAATTTGTCACGTAGTTTAGCTGGAAGTCGAGCAAGTTCTAGAATCACTTTGGAACTTCCCCTTGATCCCCGTCCGTCCCAGAATGATGATGAGGATCTTGCAAGTCCAGGTAGTCCTGAGTTTCATGAAAACAGTGTATGTGAAATTACTAGTGAAAAAGGATACATCTTATCAACACGTCATCTTGGAACCATCACCATCACAGACAATTCCTCATTATATAGTCCAGTTTCTCATTCACGCCATAGTGGCTTAGAACGCCAAGAAAGCCTTCCAGAGAGTATTAGTATTAGATCACGCTCAAGTAGTCACTCTAGAATAGGTCGAGAGTCTCGTGAAAGCTTACGTGATGTAGGGGATTCAACAAGCATAAGCACCATGACCATGACAACTAGACTTTCTGCCAGCATGAGGGCTGCTAAAGAAATGGGTCATTATGTTGACTATGGTTCATCTCAAGAAAGTCTTCATAAAATGAGCTCGTGTGAAAGTGATGGTGGTTCATCACTCTCCTCGCATACTAGATCTTCTACCACACCTAGACCATTAGATCTGCAGCATGGCAATTTCCTTCAACACAGGAGAAGTACATCAACAAGTCCTCCAAGTATTACATCATATTCCTCACAAACTAGGCCCCGCTGTATGGATTTTTCTACTCTACACAAGAAGCCAAAGTTTCATATGTATGGAGCAGGTCGAGGTAGTGACTCTGGGGGTAATACTGATAGTGATATATGTTCACCATTAGAAATTCCACATCCAATACCTCCTCCACCAGAAGAGGTACATGAGGAAGAGGAAGATGATGATGACCTAACCCCTTCTCAGGAGCAGGTGCAGTTTCTTCCCCGTCCTGCTGATATGGATTTGATTACCAGAATTAGGGGTAGCAGTGATGAAGAGGAAGATGAACAAGAAGATTTACAAGACTTGGAATTAGAATCTGAACAAGAGGATCAAATCATTGTAGTTATAGAAGAGAAAGATGAACCTTGTATATTTGATTTTGAGATTTTGCCACCACCTCCAGAGGTGAAAGAAGAATCCCCTTCAAGTGGAGAAATGGATCTTACAGACACATCACGGGAAAGAAGAATTGATGAAAGTGATGCCTCAGAGCGCACAGTCATCGAAAGGTTTCGACTTCCTGATGAACGGCTTAGCAAATTAGGTTCTAAAGATAGCCAGATGAGCATAGAAGAGATAGATGAATCAATTCTTGATAGGCGTTCTTCTATGACTGGTGAGAGAAGACAATCTGCCCATGATATCAGTTGGAAATCCCCATATCCAACCTCAGAACGACGACCATCAATTCAGGACTTCGGTTGCATTTCTCCCCTACCAGTCAAAGAGCGCAGGTCTTCGTTACATGATTCTGAAAGGAAATCTCCTTATCTAGAGACAGATAGGAGATCGTCTGTTCATGATTTAGGTAGGCGATCTCCATATGAAAGGGATAGGGAAGAGAGAAAGTCATCATCATCATCTGAAAGACGAAGCTCAGTGTGTTCAGATAGACGGAGTTCTGTATCTTCAGAAAGGAGAGGATCTGTCTCTTCAGAGAGGAGACCTTCTCTATCAGATATAGGCAGAAGAACATCAATATCAATTGAACCAGGGCAGAGGTCACCATTTTTTGATGCACCTGTGTTTGAATTTGAACCAGAGAGAGAATCTGATTCCCTTGAGCCAGATACCTCCTCCTCAACTCTTGCATCAGCATCAGAAAAAAGCCCAATTGTGTCTGATGTTGAGAGAAAGACCTTTTTTGATGGGTTGATGCTTGATGACTCACTTATAAGTATGGATGAGTTTACTGAAGCTTTGATACCACCTGAAGAAGCCCCAGAGCCATTTGCTTCACTGTCTGGAGCAAGAGTGATAGAGATTGTAGAAGGTATGACAGAACATAAAGTTATTGTCACAACAGAGCCAGAAGAAGAGGAGGAGGAAGAGGAAGATGATGTGGCACCTGAGGATGAAGAGGTCTTCATAAAAGAAAAAGTTGCAATTGCAAAAGAAGATAGTGTACAGTCAGTAGAAACAGAGGGTGAAGGAGAAATGGATGAATGTTTAAGGAGTAGGGACGGTGCTATAGGGGTTGACACACGTGTTCTTGATGATGATGATGCCATTGGTGCAGTTGGAGGAACAGATGAGGACCTAGATCAAGATTATTTTGAGGATGATGATGAGGATGATCATGCACAAATGAGTGATCAGTCCCCACAGTCTCCTGACCTTGTATCAGAGCCCGATGAATATCATGATGATTACCAAGAGCCAGAATATTATCAACCATTTACTCGACAGATTGATATAGGTTATGCTTTTCCCTCTCGTACATTATCTCGGATTAGCGAGAGAAGTACAACTTCTGAACAGGAACATGAACAGGACCATATTGGTCTACCTGAACCTGAACCTGAACATACAGATAGCAAAATTTCTACTCCCACTGAAGAAAAGCTCCCTTCAATTCCTTCTGAAGAGCAGCAGGGAGAACTGCCCTCTGATTATTCAAATTCAACTAGTGATGATAATCAGAGTGATAGAAGAACAAGCTTAAATGCAGAACAGGAAACTCCTCAGCCATATGCTACACAGTTTTTCTTAAGAGATCTGCCAGAATTTGTACCAGGAGATGAAAGTGATGAGTTTCCCTCCCCTCCTAGTTCTGCTTTCTTGGAAAATCCTCACACAGAACTCAGTCATATTGAAACCTATTACATGGAAATCAACCAAAGAGTTAATCAGAGTAGTGAAGGAATATATGATAACATTCCTGTTAAATTTGAAGGTATTCACGAAGTATCCGAATCCGAATCGGCATCTGAAGAAAATCACACACTTCAAGAGCCTGAAGATACTCTTGAGATGTTAGAGGATATACAGGCTGTTGAGGAGTTAGAGGAAGAGCCAGGAACATCAGGAGTGAAGGAGAAAGTAGCTACTACAAAACCAAAGACTCCTACACGAGTGAGGAGGGAATTGCCATCTCCTTCTCCTCCACCTCTTCCACCACCCCCTAGGCCATTTATGCGCCCTCCATCCCTATCCAGAAGTCCGAGTCCTCCTTTGACACCTCCAACTCCTATTGCAAGAGAAATGCCCGTTACTAAGTATGATGGTGGTCAGGCCCTTGATATCAGACACAGAGTGGCTATTGAGTTTGAGGTACGGGGGGGTCATCTCCATGAGAGTAGGGAAAACCTTTCTACTGCGGGTCTAACTGCTCAAACTGATAGTGGCGAATGGAATAGCTTTTAGTATTTTTTTTTTTTTATAGATTACACATTTGTTACAGGAATAACTCTGAATATGTGCTGTTACTGTCACAATCCCATACTTTGCTCACTTAACTCTTAAATTGTCACCTTATCATCATTGGGAAATGCCTGCACTAAAGATTTTTCTTCTTTGCTTAATTGCCTAACTGTATAGATTTAAGGATGCAGTTAATTTTACATCCTTATTCTCTTTGGTGCATTATTCAGGAAATTTCAAGCCTGTCAATTATGTAGTGTGTAAAATTACTGTTTATTGTCAGTTAATTTAGCATCATAATTATCATATCATATTGGTGTTCATGAGCAATATATTGTAAGTCATGCAAGACACTGTTTAGCATTTTGATGTTGGTTGCTGTTCTACTGTTTCCTGTTAAACTTGTCTGAATTTGAATTCAAGAAGTTAGTGCTCTGAAATGCTGTATGTCAGTGAAGCTCAATGGAAGATTTTTACCTTTGGATTACTAAGCTTTAATATAGAATGCAACACTTAGGGTACTGTATGTACAACGACATAACATTCCTATGACAAATGGATGTAAAGAAGAAAAGCCTTATTATACTGAAAAGGGCAGCACTACTTAAGTTATATTAATCCTAAATTGTAATTTCAGGTTCATATTTGCTTTTACTTGTGCCAAAGAGCCTTAACATTGACTCCTCCTTGATGATTTATATATGTAGATACACACACATGCACACACTTAGGTATGATAGGGCCCACAAGTCTATGAAGGAGTGAATCTAGGAAGTGACAAGTTAAGAGGCAGGGCCAGGGTCTGAAGCTCAACCCTTGGAATCATAATTGAGTACAAATAGGCGAGTATTGGGGCAGTACCAGAAAGACTAGGGAATAAGGTACACTAACAAATACTGGATGCCATTCACACAACAGGGAGAGAGGTTAAGACACTTTTGATGGATTTGGATATATCAAAGGTGATGGGATCTGACGAAGTGTCTCTTTGGATTCTGCAAGGAGTAGAAACATTATCTGAACTAGTAGCTATGATTTATAAGAAGACTTGGGATATGGAACAATTGTTAGAGATCTGGAAGACAGTAACTTTAGTCCCTATATTTAAGAAAGGAGACACAGAAGGCATTGAACTATTGATCATTTTCTGACATGCACACCTTGTAAGGTAATGGAGAAAAATTATTGGAGGAAGAGTGGTAGAACACTTATGGATTAGTTGTTTCAGAAAAAAAAACCCAGCATGGGTTTCAAAATGGCAAATATTGTCTTACCAGGTTGTTGGTAATGTGTGTGACAGGAGAGGGAGGGGGATGGGGGGGGATTATTGCATTTTCATAGATCGACAATAGACATTTGATACCATACCCCACAAGAAGCTGGGCCAAAAACCTGAGGTGCAGGTTGGAATAACAGTAAGAATATTCTGGTAGATCAAAGAGTATCATAGGGAAAGAAAGCAAAGTGTGATAGTCAGGGAGAAGCAGGAAGGGAAAAAGAGTAACTAGCAGGGTTCTACAAGGATTGGTATTAGGACCAGTACTATTTCTGGTTTATGTGAATGCTATTCCAGATGGGAAGGATTCAGCTATATCCCAGTTTGTTGAAGTAAAACTGATGAAAACAAAAACAGTTGAGGAACTGGAAAGGCTCCCAATGGATCTGAACAAATTTCAAGAATGATCATATATAAGTGGTCACTAGAATTCAACCCCATGAAGATTGAGGAAGGAACAAGAGAATTGGTAACTGGGTATAGACTAGGGAGACAGAGGCTTCAGACTTCACTCAGAAGAAATGACCTAGGAGTGAGAATAGTGCCTGTTATTTCACCTGAGTCTCATATCAGTTGAAAAATCTCTGCAGCCAGTGCTCGTCTAGCAAATCTGAGAGTAGCCTTTAGGTTCTTAATACAACACAGACCGGGCCGCGGGGGCGTTGACCCCCGGAACTCTCTCCAGGTAAACTCCAGGTAAACATATGTCAGGCATTTTGGAGAATGCAATACCATCATGGAACTCGCACCTGAAAAGACGCATGTTAAGAAACTGGAGAAAGTGAGGAAGTATACTATGAGTATACTATGATGTTTCTTCCTGGGATAAAGGGTATTGGAAGACAGAAGAACCAGGGAAGATATTATAACATACAAAATACTTGGATGAATTGATATGATAGACAGGGTCAGGCTGTTTAAGAGATGGGGAACAGGTATTCAGGGACAAAGCTTGGAGTTAAAGACAGATGAACCACAGAGATGTCAGGAAATATTGTTTCAGCTTGAAAAGTCAGGAAGTACAATTATCTAAATGAAGAAGTGGTGGAGGCAGGCTCTGTACATAGTTTTAAGAGCAGGTACAATAGGGCCCTCAAGGCTATGAGGGAGTGAATCTGGCAAGTTCCAAATTAAGAGGCAAGGATAGAATCTGAAAATTGACCTGCTCCAACCACAAATGGTGAGTAAATACACACATGCATACCTGCACACATGAGTGGGGAAAATGGTGAAAATAAATAAAAAAAATCTGAAGGGAATGGCATTGAGATGATGAAAGAGGGAGGCAATTCATTGACTCCATGAGATGAGAAAATGTGGAA